CCCGACGGCAGTCGATGGATTTCAGGAGCAGATTTGAAAGCATCCGCACCGCTGATCTACTCTCACTACGAACGACAAAGGTTAGCTAAGGAAGTTTCACGACCTGCCCCTCCCACCCGGACTTTGGTCCCTCCCTCCGACAGGCAGCTTCGCCCTCGCAGGTAAGCTCGGTCTTTCAAGGAGGGGGGGGTGTAGCATACTGCGCAGCCACACGGGCCTGTAGGGCCCAACCAGATGGAAAATAAGGGCCTGGAAGGCCCTGTGTTGTTTTAGCCTAAAAAAGGGCCCTCCAGGCCCTGAGTCTTTTCAGCCTGAAACGGAGGGCCATTTTCAGGCCCTCATAAGGTCGACCTTCCCTGAAACTTAGGCACCAGACCAGGGTTTTAGCACAGGCCATTTTTGGGCCTGTTTCAAGACAACCTTTGTTTGAACTTCAACGCCAGGTTCTGGCACGATTCGGCATAAGCAAGAGCAGCCTCCTAGGCCGGACCAGCACTATATAGTATTGGTCCGCCCTGCACTTCACAGGCAGTTCACGGGCACTTCACGTGCAGGAGGCAGGCGGGAGTCTTCAGGATTTCGGCAACAGCACTCTGGAGGAGCGCTGCAGTAGTAGTAGTAGCGTTAGGAGTAGTCTTCAGCGCTGGGCGCTATTAGGAGCTAGAGTAGTAGTGGAGAGAGAGAGATGGTTGGCGGAGGCCAGGGAGACTTACCTGTGGCGCCATAGCTCCAGCTTCGTTTTCAATGTACCTGCAACAAGGCGCCACCTTCACAGGTTAGTACCAGACAGAAAGAGAGAGAGAGGGTTCTTCTTCTTCCTCTTCTAAGTCCACCTTCTCTCCCTCACCCTCTCGCTACCTGACTTCTCAGTATCTGCAGACTACGAGAGAGAGAGAGAGATTGGTGACTTTGGGACTTGACGACATTTGGATCCAGATTCGACATTGGGATTGAGACATTTGATGAGGGACTATTTGGGACCTGTGCCAAAGACTTGGTGTTGACGACATTCCCATCTCCTCCCTCTTCTTCGTCTGATCCTCTCCTCTTCGTCTGTGTATGGTCTGGACCTGGCGCATTCTTCCTGTGTGTAGCGCCAGTCCCTTCACACCTTGCAATGATGATGATGTATGTTGGGTCTGCATTGCGACATTGATTGGGTTGATCATTGGTATTTTAGCCTTCCGCTGCGCTATCTTGTACTATGTGAGAGAGGTCGGTTCTTGTTCTGGTCTGTACTGTTATGGTATGCGACAGTCATGGACCTCCGATCCGATAAGGATGAATCAGGATCTCCCAACTGGCCACTGGTAGTTGGAATGACTGCAGGGGACATGTGAGCGGACATTGTCATGTGACTAAGAGAACAGCAACAACATGTAAAGAAGGCACAGAGAGAAATGGGGAGGAAAAGGATAACGATGCACGCCATCAGCGACCCAGCAATAAGAAGAGTTTGTTTGCTCGTGAGGCCAACTGAAGATGAGCATGGCTGCGCCAATCGGCATGGAACAGAGGAAAGAATGCGAGCAGAAGAGGCGGTTCACACATGACACCATGGAGGAGATTGAGGTGGGGAGGACTCCAGGCATCTGCACAGAGGAAAAGAGGGTTGGTTGAGCTCGTGTTTGAGATGGACAGCTTGAGTGATTGAGGGATGCAGACTGCGGTGTTGTCCGCATAGATAGTGAGACTGTAGTCCACTGGCCGTCGGCGGAGGAAACCACAATGGTGCAAGCAGCAGAGGAAACCTCGGGTGAGTCACCCACAGAGGAAACCAGAGGGGTTAAAAACAAAAAAAAGAAAAGAAAAAGAGGAAACCAGAGGTGGACCAGCAGCAGCAGAAATGGTGGGCATCACCAACACATGAGCAAGCAGGGCAAGATGAGGGTGATGTGGGGACAAGAAGAAAGTGGATGACGGAGGGACTATCGTACCGTATGTCAGATGCACTAAGGGCATATTACTCGCACTACTAGCACTATCTTAAATGTATCCGACCGCTTTTGGGCCCGGACCTGGAGGGTACCTTGCCACAATTACGTCCAGAAATAAATCTGAGAAAGTCCTAGTGTGTGTATGCCCTAAGAAAGAGGGGCATTGGATACAATCCTGGAGTGGAAAGAGCGCATGTAGCACGTCCACCCTTTGTTTTTGGGGCAAGTACGTTCAAGTCACAATCAAGTTTCTATATGGGGAACAAAAACACGTACCGGCAGGTCAGTCACCTGCCGAGTTCGAAAAGGCAGGCAATAAAAAGAGGCGCGGCACTTGGTGAGAACTGCGGATGTCATAGAGCACTGGTTAAAAAAAAAAAAAAAAGAAGAAGAAAAAGAACTGCGGATGTCATACCTACAGGGGCAGGCCGTGGCGTGCAGACTGCCTGTCAGTGAGTTAAAAAAAGGCAAAAAAAGATTACAGCTATTTTTACGTTTCTCAACTTTTTTGCCCATTTCAAACTCGGCCTGTAACAAAGCTGCCAGTATGTGTTTTTTCTGCACGTTCGAAACTACAAATGTGACTCAGCTGTCCTTCGGGACATCCGTTAAAATTGGAATGATACAGAGAAGATTAGCATGGACCCTGCGCAAGGATGACACACATAAATCGAGACAAGGTCCGAATTATAAAAAAAAAAAGAAAAGAAATGTGACTCAGAATCTCAGACGCATTTGTTTCTTGTTAAAAGCTTGGCAGGCAACGCAGTGATTCCCGGCTCCGGTGTACTGCTGGTTTAAGGTCTCTCTCGTGGGCGTAGGCCTAGGGTAAAAGGATACGGCATTGGGATATTGCTTATGGAGATAATATGCCCGTATACAAGCCACAATTTTAGGAAACGTGCGGTCCACTACAGGAGTGCCCAAATTCATCCAACTAGAAACGTTTCTACTCTATTTTTGTTCTGCGGCCTATAGCTGGGCTAAGTACCGGTGGTTCAAACCTCTTTAGCCCCTCAAAAACCAATTTATACCCCCCTTCCCCCCCTTGACAGTCAACATTCGAAAAAAGAAAGGAGCCCAGATTTGGGCTCCTCTGGCCATGCACAGAAAACCTCCACCTACGAAAAAGATAAAAAGAAAAAAAGAAAATAAAGGGCTGATTTTGGACTGCACAGAGTGCCCCGTGCAGGTGAACCCCGGGCGACTTGCCCGGGTTGCATGGCTGTGCTTGTGATTGCACAGCCGGGGGAGCCAAGTAACCTAGGAGAACATACAAAAACACTAACAAGTCCAAGCAAAGGCTTTTTTTTTTTTTTTTTTTTTTTTTTTTGGTTAACAACTCAGTTTTACACTTCCTTCTGTGTGGCTGGAGGAACCCCTGGCCAGCCGCGAATTCTCCAACAACAAAAAAAGGAGGGTCTTCTCCCAACGACACAATGCTTCCTTATCTTTAAAAAAAAAAGAAACAATTTATTAGAAAACCCAGGCTGTTGTAGAGGCCAGGTTCCGGACATACGGTGGTTGCAGTCGTCAGTCAGCCATTGGTTGTCCTGACATTTTTTTGTGAGACCGCCTCCCTACCCATCCTCTCGTCAATTCTCCCAGCGCACCCCTATTCCCACTGTCCTACCTCAGAGTTAATCACTCAGGACTATCACGCCCCCAGGTGACTTTGACCGAACAGCAGTTATGGGCACCAGGGCTAGGCAGATTACCGCACCCAGCGCTGGTTGAAGCATGATCGGGCGAGCCTCGCCCCACAGGTACTTCAGATGCCAGGCTCAAGCAGTGTTTCTATCGGCCCCACATACTACCCTTACCCCTACCAAACATATCACTGGCCATATCTGATAGCTCCGCAAGCCCAGATCTAGTCTATGACTCTGCTAGAAAGGACCGGGTACCTCCCCCCTGGCATTGCAGTTGACTGTGTGTGTGCCCATAGGCTGTGTGTGTGTGCACCCATAGGCTGTATGTGTGTGCCTGTAGGCTGTGTGTTGTGCCCATAAGGCTATGTGTTATGCCCATAAGGCTGTGTGTTGTGCTCGTAGGCTGTATGTTGTGGCTGTAGGCTGTGTGTGTGTGTGCCCGTAGGCCATGTGTCTGCCCGTAAGCTATGTATGTGTGCCCGTAGGCTGTGATATGTAAAGTTGTGCTATTCTGTGTATGATAGGCCTATATGTGCTAGAAACCCGACAGCAAAGTCCCAAGCCAGACTAGAAAAACACACACTCATCATTGTGTAACAGCTGTGCTCAAACAAGTGTACTACAATTCCAAATGATACCAATGTGCAATACGCCAGACTGGGGAGATAATCGGAACAACCTATGGCCAACATCCTCAGGTGCCGACATCCAACATAGTCTAGCCCCGACATACAACAATCCTGGACTGAATCCCTGTAGGTCATGCAGGCAGTGTCTGTAATCCTTACCGACGTTACCGTGCATCAACCCAGGGGATGTTTCTGTGTGTACAGCCGTGCGTCGGTCAACGCCCGCCGCTGTCCATGCACGAGGCTGCAGGGTTTTCAACGCACAACGTCAACAACAATGTGCATTTCCGACCAGTGTTCTACCCACTGAGCTAATCGGCTGTACCATGCTTCCTTCCCTTAGATTCCTCTCAGGGCGTACTCACACTAGCACTATCTTAAATGTTTCTGGTCGTATTAACGACTGGAACTGTATGCATCTGGCCGCAATTCCATCCAGAAATAAGTAAAACAGTGCCAGTGTGAGTACTTGTTCTTTTCTTTTTCTTCATGAATACTGGAAGAAAAGATACGCAACAGAAAAACACTAACAGCTCCAAGACAAGAAGTCAGCCAGTGTTCCTTCCTCCCTTCCCCCCCTCCRSCYCCCCTCCARSCCCCCTCCMGYCCCCYTCCMGCCCCCCYCCCCCCCCTCCCCCCCTGAAAGTATGAGATATCAGTTGGTCAATTCCTTTTCGAATTTGGAGATCGCAGGAAACCGAAAACAAACCTGGCAAAAAAAAAAAAAAAAAAAAGAAGAAGAAGGAAAAAAAAAAGAAAAAGAAAAGAAAAAGAAAACAAACCTGGAAAAGGCTCCAACCACCCCACTGGCGTATTGTCTGCATGTACTTTTTCAAGGAAACAGTGTTGAGATTTGTCACGCGAGGCTCCGGCTTTCCCAGGTACTTGTCACTTAATAAGCCACCAAGCAAGGTCCTGCACTTATCACAGAAAAAAAATAGCAAAAACATTTAGATTTTAAAACTAAAAAGAAAGAAAACAGAGGAGGTCCTGCATGTATCACAGCCAAATTAGGAAAAAGTCTAGTAGGCTACAATGGGCCGGTTGGGTGGGCACAGAGGTGCAGGTCGCCTGACCGTCTTCCTACCCTGGGGTACCCCCGGGCATGTAGAAACTTAAAAAAAGTCTGTGCTGTCTCCAATGGGGTTCCAAACGGGTACAAAAACGTGCTAAAAGGGGTTTTGAAAGCGATGAGGGGGGATGTGTTGTAGTGGATTTAGTTTTTAATTTTCTTCTTCAGGGAGACATTATCTTGTCAGTCTAGATCAATACGGTTATTTTACCCATGTCAAATGGAGCGCAGGTCCGTGACCACTTATGAGAAGTGAGTATCGGCTTCTATGAGTATTTGAAGGGGGTACAGGGGGTGCGATCTATGTGTGAACTATGTATACTAATGGTGTGAGCTATGTGTGAACTATGTCTACTATGTGTGAACTTTGTGAACTATCTGTGAAGCATCTGTGAAGTATCTGTGGACTATGTATAGTATACTAAAGGAGGTACAGGGGGTGTGAACTGGGTGAACTAATTATACTAAAGGGGGTACAGGGGGTGTGAACTATGTGTGAACTATGTATATACTAAAAGGGGTACAGAGGGTGTGACCTATGTGTGAACTGTGTATACTAAAGGGGGGACAGGGGCTGTGAATTATGTATACTAAAGAGGGTACAGGGGGTGTGAAATATGTGTGAATTATGTGTGAACTATGTGTACTACAGGTGTGAGCATTGTGCAGTGAATAATTTTTCTTTATCTAACTTATCTACCTTTTTTATCTAAAGTTCTTTTCTTTGTTGTTTTTTTAATCTACCTTTTGTTCTAAAGTTTGGTAAGGAATTTCGCAATTTGGTAAGGAATTCCGAATTTCGCAATGAACCTCTTCTTGTTTAGCAAGTCTACAAGTACTCTGTAGGGAAGCTACAGGAAATCTATGGGAAGTATACAGACTATTACAGACCCTAGAGAGAGAATCCTTGGGACTATATACCATGTAGAGGAAGCCTGCCAGGAATGCGGTGGAAGTCTAAGGGGAGCGTCGAGAGGGAGCCCAGAAGGAGTCTTTCAGTCTCCAAAGCCACAAGGGCCGGATATATTCCTTTACAAGTCCCTTGCTGCCTTGTGCCCTGCCCATCACCATACCAATCTCCATAATGCCTCCTGTTCAAAACACCTTTGCTGCCTCTCTCTCTCTCTCTCTCTCTCTCTCTCTCTCTCTCTCTCTCTCTCTCTCTCTCTCTCTCTCTCTCTCT